ATAAGCATTCATTCATCTAAGCTCATGATCAAAGATAAATAAACATAACAAGATGTTTAACTAGAAAACATTTCCATAAACTTCAAACACAAGATAATAATAAGTCTTCAAAGCAACTAATCATCCATGGGTTAAACCATAATCAACCAAATGAAAGTTTAGCCAAGCATGGGCAAAATAAAAGAAATGCAATATAGTTTAGAGATACCAAACATGATTCAAAGTGTAAGATGAAATGAAATGACAACAATCTTCAAAATCTTCCTAAGCCTTCTAGAGAGCAAAATAGAGTTGTTCTTCAAGGTGTTTATCTTCCTTCTTGCTTCAAAACTTCAGTAAAAGTGGCCAAAAATAGGATCCAAAAGTCCCCCAAAAGCATTCCACCAATCTTCCCAAAATATAGTCAAAAAGTCAAAAATTCGGATTCTTCACAGTGCGATCCACGCGGACCATTTGTAAATCCACGCGGACCGTGTGGATTCTAGGCCATTTGGCCCATTTGATTGGCCTTCTATTTTTGCTCCTTTATTTCTTGGTCCAGCCTACATGTAAAGGTTATTGATAGCCCAATTGTGTCTTGTTGACTCTCCCAAGATGGGTCATTGCTTCCTTGATCTTCTATAGCTCAAAATTCTCTTCACATCATCATCATTCTTCATCTAAAATTAAGCCCAACTTGCTCCTTTGATTATGTTGACAACATGCCCGATCACACCAGTTCAAGTCCACAAGCAAACTGCAAGCCTCCAAAAGTCTCGCACTCCTTCCATACCTCCAATGACAAATAGTCTTCGATAAATCCTGCAAATAAGCTCAAAAGACTGGAAATCACCTGGTAAAAGGAGAAAAATAACAAAAAGATAAAATATGCATGAAGATTAACTAAAATGAGATGAAATGTGCTAAAATAAACTATAAAAAGAAGTAAATAAAATGAAACTATCACAACCCCCACCACCACCCTTGGCCACCTTGTGTTGTTGCTGCTATTGCTCCGTAAGTCTACTCCACCATTATTAATTCGTTTGTGTCGATCCAAATTGCCAAACTTCATTTTAAAATATCTATAATACCCTTTCGATCCAAATTGCCAAAAAAATGTATATATATTTTTTCCTTCGTTTACTCTGTGTGTGCATGAACGACGAACAGGAATAACCCCTCCTGTTACCAAACTTCATTTTAAAATATCTATAATACCCCTCCCTTCGGAAAATTTTGCAAACAGGTCCCAACTATTCCAAACTTCCATTTAATATCTCTAAAATCCACTCTTTCTTTCGAAATTGATTACAAATCAGATCCCAAACTTTCAAACTTCATATTTAAATATTCAGAATTTACCCCCACTCGAAAATTCTTTCAAAATAAGTCTAAATCAATTAAACTTTTATTTTTTTTAAATAATTTAAACCCCATATTGAGATTTATTTGCAAAATAAGTCCAATATTTAAATTTAGAATTTAAATAAATCACTTGCTCCCTCATATGGAAAATTTTAACTAATTTAGTCCCATGTAAATTATTTTAATTAATAAATAGACTCTATGCCTTGGTTAAATTACAAAATAACCCTCCAAATATTAATTTATATTAAAATTTACTAGGAAACTAAATTAATCTCGAAGGTTCGTGTTCACAACAACACATCCCGGTTTCTCGCATCCAATACTCGAAGCAACTCGACAACCGCACCTTAAGGCGAGTGTTACGGCCCCTCTTTTATATTTTTACATGTTTTAGGGGAGAATACATGTGCAATACGATATTAATTCATACAAAATACATATAAAATATTATTTTATGCAAATACTATACCAATTTATAAAACAATGGCTTGATATTTATATGTTGTAAGTACATAAACTAGGTCCAATATTAATATGTCCATGTGTTATATTAATAACATATGCCTTGTTATTACAAGATACATACTTAGTTATAAAAGTTAGTGCCTTATACTATGCATGCATACCATTTATGCTTGGCTTTTATAGACTCTATACAAATTCATTATGCCTAATAACTTATCCACTTATAAGTTAGGGCTGAGAGCTTTTCACCTACCTTAGTTAATGGCTTTTTAGTGAGACTATATTCATTAGCTAAGTCTAAACACTTAGCATACCCACATTAATATAACCCTTACTCTTCGGAACGAGATACATATGTATAGATCTATACGGGGTTGACATCCTCACCTGCGGTTGCTAGCTACAACCTCGACCGATCAATCGAAGCAGGTGATAAGTGTCTACAATCGTCACCACGACTTATAATGAAGCGACGTAGGGGTACATACAACAACATAACTCGGTTATAGGACTTACTATAAACATTAACTAAAAACTCTCTCTATTACCACAAACCATGAGCTTGGTTGTTTTCAAAACTACTTTAAGTATGGTTTACCTATGCAAAGATACATTTTGGTATTCAAAGTTTATTTACAAACATTGTTTTGAGTATGTTATACTTATAAAGAAAATAATTTTTAAACTTTTTAAAAGTATTATACTGTTGTTGGCAGAAAACTTGTGACCCTCACCAGCCTTGTGTTGACTTTCAAACTACATTTATTCTCAGGAAATCAGTGATTTCAACCATTCAGACATTGGAAAAAATCATGGATTGCAGAAAATTTAAATTACTAGTTTTTGTTTTGAGTATGGTTATACTTACTAGTTTTTGTTATGTTAAGCCTATTTGTTATGGCAATTCATGTATTACTATTATCTGTAAGAACCCTGTATTCAAACTTAAATATGGAATACACATGTTGTTTTGTTTATTGTTGTATCTGTGTTATATATTCAGTTTATCTGTGATCTATGAACTTAATCGCATATCCCGACATGTTCCACCGCCTCAGCCGGGGGTGTGATAGATTGTTTTTCCTAATAATCAACCGATATCTACTTCGGTTTCTGAGTCGTATACATTTGCGCTGAAACCTTGAAAAATCATAACCTCCTCTTACGAAGTTAGGTTTGGACGTTCTCTATATGCACACTCTCGGTTTAACAACCACTACGACTTTCGTTTAGATCACTTATGTTAAAAAAGTAATCTATCGAAAATTCACTTTTTACGATACGCAGAGACGTGCCGATTTAATCGCGAAACTTCGAAGAAACATAACATCTTTATACGAAGTCAGATTGCAGCGCTCTTTATATATACATAATCCTTGTCACATATACTATAAATTTTTGTTAAGATTAGTTGTCCTGAATAATCTTCTATCAAAAAGTCATCTTTATAGCTTATTCTATTTAATTGACTAGCCCGAATCTGCGGGCGTTACAACCAATAACCTAAGAAAATTACATCATCTGCATACTGAAGATGCGAAATGATTGGGCCTCGGCGATGAAGTTGGATGCCTTCGAATAGACCTTTTTCTTTTGCCACCTCCATCTCAACATGTAACTCCTCAGTTGCAATGATAAATAAGAACATATATAATGGGTCTCCCAGTTTAACCCCACGTTCCATACATAATTCCAAGGTTGCTTACCCGTTTACAAGAACTGAGATCATTGTTGATGATAAGCATCCACGCACCCACTGATGCCATTTTACCCCAAAATCCATTTGTTGAAGGATCGAGTCTAATACTCCCAGCTGAGACAGTCAAAGGTTTTCTCAAAGTTGACTTTGAAAGTGAATGCCTTCCGTTTGCATTTCTTTACCCACACAATTACTTCATTAAGGATAAGAAGGTCATCCAGAATAGAATGATTTTTTATGAAAGTAGTCTGAATAGGGCTCACCACCAAATGAATTATCTTCTTTAGCCTCTTTGCTAAAACTTTGGATATAGTTTTATACAAGTAGTCGATTAGACTGATGGGCCGAAAATCACCGATTGTAATTGGATCTTGAATCGATGGAATGACGGATTGCCATGGATACCAGTAGATGGCTCATGGTTATGAGTCGAGTTTTTTGCCTTAAGTACACAAGCATCAACATTTTCCTTTTTTACCTACAATCCGAAAGAGGTATTGATCAAATTAGATTCAATATTCTTATTCATTTTATCTCTAATACACGATCTATTTATATAAGAACCACCTAAGTCATATTTCAACATGATATGTTTGTCTTCAATCTCGAACAAATACCCATTTCCATTAGCGTGATAAAAATCTCATTCACTTTTTAGTAATTCATCATATGATTCATATTTGAAGTTAGCTAAGTGGGTGTTTGGGATAACTTTTCAAAAAAGCTTATTAAATTTTTAGTTTTTCAAAAAGCTAATAAGTTAAAAAAGTGTTTGTGTATTTAAAAAACGCTTTTTAAAACAACTTTTTGGATAGGAAAAAGTAAAGCTTTCAAAAAGCTGAAAAATCCTAGCTTTTTAGCTTTTCAAAAATTTTACTCCTGAAAAAACAATTTTTCTTATACAAACACTTTTTAAAATCAGCTTTTTCCTAAAAGCCATAAGCTAATAAATACTTTTCTTAAAAATCACCTTTGAGATAAAAAAGCTAACCCAAACATACCCTAAATAAAACTCTTCATTTTGTATCACAAAACTTGATGAATCCATTCCTATCTATTGAATAAATTTTAATACAGTGAGACATCATATTTAAGAATCTAACGTATAAGCCATTTGTTCATTCAAGAATTATATTTAACACAATCAAACATTTTGAATCAATAGGTTAACATTCAACTTTAACATTTTAACAAAATGGTTTTAAAAGAATCAAAACCAATATACATCACACATAATTTTAACAAAAAATCAGAATCAAACATCGTATTTTTATTACAATCTTTAACTACTCTTAATTTAGCTACTCTTAATGATACAGTTAGATGACATTTAATAAAAATACGATGAAAAATATATATATTGTTGTATGAGTAAAAAGATTGTAAACTTTTCTAAATTTCACCAACAACCCAAATGTTTTGGTTAAGGAATCCCAATGGTGCACGTGCGCTCCATATATGGTGAATGACGCGCCATTTCCACAGTATGTGTGACGGCGAAAAAAAGCCAAAAACACGCACACACACACTCTACTCCAAAAACCCTTTTGCTTCATTGCCTTGCCTCAACGAAGATTTATCAGGTTTGATTCTCTGCACTAAAACCACCTGTTTCATCGATATTATCTTGCTTGTTAATGGTGGAACCTTAATTATAGCTATTCGGAATTTTGTTTTCAGGTATTCAGCCGCATTGCAGATCTAGGGTTTTATTAGGGTTTCTGTTTCGATGGCAACGCCGTTTCACTTTCCTGTCACCGCTGCTCAGGTTTGCATCTTTGCTCAGCTCTTCCTGCATCGTTATGTGCATATGGATAGTTGTTTACTGGGGTTTTGGTGTTTTTAGGTTGGGCATTTCTTCGTCGGACATTACTACCAGGTGCTTCAGACGCAACCTGATGTTGTTCATCAGTTTTATAGCGAAAGGAGCACGTTGCTTCGCGTTGATGGTGACGCCAGAGTTACCGGGACTTCAATGCTGGTGAAATTTCGACCCCCATATCTACTTGAGCTCCTATTTTGTGTATACTCTATTTTCACTACAGAAGTCAGACCTACTACAATAATCAGTAGATTCTGGATTTTATATGAATAGAGAGTTTGGACATTCATATACAGCAACGTTTGAGTTTAATAGTTAGTTTTGCCTCTTTCGCTTCTTATTATCTTCTTTACTGATATGCAAATGTAGTAGGATTTTAAGCGTTATTTGATGTTGAGTATCAGTTACAGAACAAACCATTGGAAGATGGTGTAATGGCTTGAAGTAAGAGTTTCTTCCTTGGTTGAATATACTAGGCAACATATATTGGTCATTGGTATAGATTAGCTAATTTCACTTGTTGGTAGATTGAGATTCCATTGTTTATCTCTTGTTTTATTATCGAGTACTAGGTTTGAGGAATCATACATTCCTTGATGAATTGCCTTGCATCTAGATGGCAAGTGCCATTTTGTTTCCATAATTAGACATGGCGTTTTGTTTTCATAATTGTCTTTGCACCATTTAGCTTTCATTTTCACACTAATTACTTTTATGTGATCAATATCATGTTTGTGGCTCTTATGTTTCTTTCTCATTTATTGCAGGAAATCCATTCTATTGTCATGTCCCTCAACTACACAGGAGTTGAAATCAAAACATTACACTCCCTTGAATCTTGGGACAAGGGTGTCCTTGTATTGGCATCAGGTTCAGTGCATCAAAAAGATTTCAATAGCAGGACATTTGTTCAGACATTTTTCCTTGCACCTCAAGAGAAAGGCTTTTTTGTACTCAACGATATCTTTCACTACATTGATGATCATCAACCAATTCATCATCATCACCCTGTTGCCTATTTGTCTCAAAACAATCTTCTTTCCAAATTGAATGCCTCAACTGCTCTTCAAGAACAAGGTACTGTATGTCTGTATCTTATTTTCTTGCATTACCCATGAATCATTAACAACTTACAAATAAAAAATTCATGTTTTGAATGTGCTTCTTCAGCATCAAGCTACATGGGAGTTGGTGATATCCAGGGTAGGGATTTTGTAACACCTACTACCACAGTTGTAGAAAATGGTTCTGTGAACAATTACAGTTTCCAAAAGCAACAATTGCAAGCTCCTGAAGTTGAAAACAGTCTTGAAGACAACTATCCTGTGAAGTCAAATGGTTCAGTGAATGCACTACAAGACCGTTTGACTTCAGTTGAGGAACCTGTAGGAGAGCCTCAAAAGCATACTTATGCTTCCATTGTATGCAATTCATCTTTAGCTGCTTTAACTAAATACAATTTACCAAATTGCCCTTGTACTGACGTTATGTCACTTTTGTTCCTTGAAGTTGCAAGTAGCAAAAGGGCAATCTGCACCACCATCAGCACCAAGAGAGCAACCTGTCACAAAAAGTCCAACGCCTTTTGAGTTGAACCATGTGGAGCCCACTTCACAAAGATCTGGGGTTGAAGGTGTGGAGGATTCATCTGGTGTAGAAGATGAAGGTACTTTTCTAGATTCTTATTTTCTGCTCTTTTAGTCAGTTTTGATTCATTTCAGGCTATATTGTATGAATAAATTGCTGGATTGATAAATGATGTGTGTCTGTGTACATAAAGTTTCTCTTTTGGACTGAATGAAGTGTCTGAGTGTGAGTAAATGACTGTTTTGCCCTTGTGCTTAGAAATATATGTATTAAGTCAAAAAGAAACACCTCTATATATTGTGTCTCCATTAATTAACTTTAATTGATGCAATTGGCTTGTTTCTTTGGTGTTTTTTTTGATGTAGATTCTTTCTTTATTAATTATACTTTTACATTGATTTTTTCTTAGTAGTTGAGTTGAAGTCTGTTTATGTGAAAAACGTGCCAATCAATGCAATTGCTTCTGATATTGAAGAGGAGTTTAAGAAATTTGGTAAGATCAGGCAAGATGGTGTTGCCATAAGAACAAGAAAGGTTAGTTAGGTCATTTTCATATTTTAAATAATATCTCCTGCTTTTTGTGCCTTAAAAAGACACTGAATTTGAGTAAAAACTTATATGGATTCAGGATATTGATGTGTGCTATGCATTTGTTGAGTTTGAAGACATGTCTGGTGTTCACAATGCGATCAAGGTAAAGTATAACTGAAAAGTGAAAAATAACATTTTATTTAATATTTTAATATTTTATATTTATCAAGTGATTGCTTACAGAATGATGCCAATTAATTGTTTAGGCATCTACTGTTGAGATTTCTGGACAGCAGGTTTTCATTGAAGGAAGACGAGCAAATCGAAGCAACAATGCATATCGAGGTGGAAGTATGTGTTTTCTATACCTTCTAAACGGAATTGGAATTCGAGATTCCATTCCATGAACGGAATTCAGTTCCTTCCAATCCCATGTATCGGGTGGAAGGAATTCGTTTTCATTATCTTTTTGTTTTTTTTTTTTATAATAAATTATCAATACTCAATACATCATTTGCATATATCTTGGGTTGTGGATTCCGATGGAATTGGAATTGGAGATTCCATTCCATCCATGGCTTGTTTGGTAGCCAAAGGAAGGAATTCAATTCCATTAGATTTCTATAAACTTGATGCTTGACGGATTTCATTATTCTTGAGGGGAAGGAACTCAGTAATGCTAAAAGACCAAAATACTCTTTTGACAGATTCAATTCAATTCCATTCCTTCCAAAAACATTCTAACCAAACTATGGAATCATAACGTGTAGGAGGAAGAGGAAGAGGCAGGACTGGATACCAAATGGACGGTAGAGGACATTTTGGAGGCCGAAACTATGCGAGAATGAACGGTCAAGATCCAAGAAGCAATGGCTACTACCGCCACACTTATTCAAGAAACGGTCACAGCCCTTCCGATTGAAGGACTGAAAAGACCATTATACCCTTTGGAATTCTTTTGGGTTTATGTTTCTTTTTTCTTCTCTGAGTTCAGTTATAGCATATTATAGTTATGGAAGTAAGCAAAAGCCCAAAAAAAAAACATTATTTAAAAAATGAGGTCTTTTTGGTTAGTCTGTGCTGGGGTGTATATGCATCGTGTTGGGGTGCCCCTAGTTACATTTTTGACCTTCTACAGAAATAGTCTTCTAAAAATCAAATCATCATATGCTTTTTATGTAGCTTTGGGTCTTTTACAACTTTGCATGTTATATCTGTTCATCAATAGAAAGAGACAATAGTACAAAAACATATAGTCACATCATTCAAGATTTCAACTTTTCATCTTATGACATCTTATTTGTGTGTTATTTGATTGTTACTCTTCAATCTTCGATATTTGCTTCCCAAAGAAACTTGGCATATGCAGCAAGAACATCACTGAAACACAAAATAATAAAAAAAATATATTACTTGAAAATAGTCGTATAGAATACGCAAAAAAAAAAAAAAAAAAAAAAAGGCGAAATGATACCTATTTGATGGAGTTAATTTGACTGATTGTTCAAAGTAAGCATTAGCTTTGTCTTGATCACGATGAAGCTCCCACACCAATTGTGCGTATTGTGAAGCTGCTTCGCTGTCATCTGGATTGGCTTGTATTGCACGCGAGTAGTACTTTTCGGCTCCTTCAAGGTCTCCTTTTGTCTGTACATCAAGGCACGGTTGTTTGTTACATAGGACATAAAATAATAGAACAAAAGATTGTGTTTGCATATAAAGATTGCAATTTTTTATCCATCTTACATTTTTTTTGGTCAAAACGAGTAAAAGATAATTAGTTAATAGCTACAGTTATCTTGGTTTGAAAACTTTTGACATAGGACAAAAATTGCAACTAAGTGGAACAAGGTGGACATTAATGTATACATTGAAATTTTATAAACCTGTTGAAGAAAACGGGCGTAGTTTGTAAGTAACAAAGGGTCACAACAACTTTCGTTGACCATTGTCTTGTAATATCTCTCAAGATCATTGACCCCAACCCCAAATGTAGTTGCTTCATCGTTCTCTTCATTTTCATCTATTTCCCATAAGAACCTTGCATATGCTGCAAGAACATCGCTACAAACAAAAATTTTGTATCAAATGTTTGCCATTTTCAAGTCTTTTAAGGTGCAAAAGATGACATGTTAGAGTGTCCATTGTTTACAGAACACATGACATGTTGTACCGAATTAATACCTAACATGGCAACTAGAAAATGACATGACATGTTGTACTGAACTAGAATAACAATAATTTATCTTGTTTTTAGTATATAATTTAGGTGACAACCTATTTTCTTTGCAATTAGGTAACTAAACTAACATTTTTTATATTAAATATGTCACACTATAATTTCGATTTTATATATAAAAACTCACGAGTTCTCAGGTGCAGCATGAACAGCGCTCTGAAAATAACCAGAGGCTCTATCTTGATCACGATGAAGCTCCCATATCAACTTAGCGTACTGCATCAGAATCTCACCATCTTTAGGATCCGCCATTGTTGCACGGAAATAGTATTCCTCAGCTCCATTAACATCTCCATTCATCTGTCATGCCAATCTCAAGTTTAAATTCATCAAATTCAATCGCTTTCTCCCTAATTCAACCATTAGAAGATAAAATCAGAATGATAGTCGGTTTTTTTCACCTGCAAAAGATGAGCATAGTTCTTCAATAGAAGAGGGTTTGAAGGATCTTCGTCTAACATCCTCTTATAATTCTCCACAACGTCGCAACTTTCGTCAAATCTTTCGGCGCCATTAATACTCACTGGTTCAATCTGTTCTTCGTTTTGCAAAATACCCAATTTCTTAAATCCATTCAATGGATCGTCTTCATGATTCTCAACGTTTAATCCCATATTTTCTGCGAAACTGAACTCATCACTGCCGATTTTAACCTTTAATTCCCCTTTCCTATTGTCAAGCAACATATCTTCATCGGCGTACACAGAGAGAGAGGGCTCTGTATGCAACATTATAAGATCCAATTTATATGGACAAAAGGCAAATCTATCAAATTGAGATTAAAGGGTTCGAAATTGAGTGTTGTTGGGGTTACTTCGATTGATGAATTCAGAACTATCAGGAATTTGGATTTCAGGGGCGGCGGAGGCGGTGGCGGTGGAAGGTGATCAGTGAATGCTTGTAGTATTTATTATTGAATTGCGGCGGTGTGAATGAAATCTGTGGTGGAGAAAAGGGTGTGGTGAACAATTGGTGTTCATAGTAATTTTATAAAATTTATTATATTTCCAAGAAATAAAGAAGTTATGAAGATCCACAAAAAAAGCTACAAACACCATTTTCTATCTTTAATTTTGGTTTACTTCAAAAAAAAAAAAAAATGCAAAATGTTATTTTTAATAGATAAAATTTTAAATTCAATTGAATGCATAATATACTTATGATATGATTTTTATTTACAAGCGCTGTTAATTTTGTTTTATCATAAAAATTTAAAATTCTAATTATGGCGAATAATTGTGCATTAAATGAGAGAAAACATCAACAAATTGATTCACGTAATCCATGCATTAGTCAGACTTTGACTTCTTTATTTTGACAAGTATGAAGATGCCGCCATGGCCACCGGTCTTGGAGATCAAAGACTAGTCCGTTTTTGCATTTTGTTTGGTTGGTATTTTTTTTTTTTAATTTTTTTTTAATATTAATTTTATGGATTTAGTTAGTGAGGAATATGGTACATTGGTATGTTATTTAAGATTTTGTTAAAACATTGTAGATGTCAATTATCATGGGCGTATGAATTTTAAATTTAACTATTAATACTTTACTAAATATATTTGGACTAATATTATAAAAGCCTTAAATTTTTAACGCGTAATTGGAAAAACCCTAATATTTTTTTATTATTGTTATGGCCACAACATTCTTGCCGAATTATCACTCTAGCCCACTTAACGAGTTTCATGGTTAACTTTTTTGCAAAATCAGTCATAAAAAGTTTAAATTTGGTCTCTGAGGTTTGCAAAAAATTACACCACATGGTTTTTAACTTTATTTTTCGTTTTTTGTATACTTTATTTATTTTTGGTTTTTTTATAAATATATATACATTTTTTATTTTCTTTTTTTATATACTTTATTTATTTTCATTTTTTAACTTTATTTTTCAACAATTTTTTTATACCTTTTTACCTTTTGTTGTCTATTTTTTCTATTTTAGTTATTTATTGTTTTTCTAATGTTTAATTATTTATTTTGATTCAAGTAAACGAACTTTAATTCAATTTAAATTACTATAACAAGTTTTTTTTATAGAGACCGACTATTATTATAATTTTTGTTCTTTCTTTTAGTCTATTATAAAATTTAAAAATATTATCTTGAATTTTAACTATTGATATCACATATAGAAATATGATTTAATTTGAAAGTTATATAACACATTGAAACACTAATTCTCAATAAACAAGCTAATTTTATTTTAATTTTTATTTTTTCGTAACATAAATATAATAACACTAAGTTGGACAAGAAAAAAAAGAATAAACAGAAAAAATAAGTTGGACCGAAATTACAAATATAAACATAACTATTTTATTTACTTGAATAAAAATAAAAAAATTGCAAAAACTATAAATTATCAAAATTTTAATATACTCTAATATATTAATACATTTTATATTTTTTGAAAAAGGTCAATAAAAAGTTAAAAATACAAAAAAAAAAACAAATAATTGGAAAACAAAAAAAATTAAAAAAAATATAATACGAAAAGAAAAATGAAAAAAAAACTCTAATATACTCTATATATACACTAAAAAATGTATATATAAAAAAAGAAAATAAAAAAAAAATGTATATATAAAAAAAATCAAATTGTTGAAAAAGTTAAAAAAAAAAAAATGTATATATATTTATAAAAAAACCCGAAAATAAATAAAGTATACAAAAAACGAAAAATAAAGTTAACAAAATCATGTGGTGTAATTTTTTTCAAACTTCAGGGACCAAATTTGAACTTTTTAGGACTGATTTTGCAAAGAAGTTAACCAAGTTAACCATGAAACTCGTTAAGTTGGCTAGAACAATAATTCTGCGAGAAAGTTGTGACCATAGCAATAATAAAAAAAAATAATAGGGTTTTTTCCAATTACGCATTAAAAATTTAAGACTTTTATAATATTAGTCCAATAGATTTGATACTAATTTGTTTGGCTATCAACAAATGTGATTGGTACAAATTAATAATACTATATACAAAAAACACAAACTAATATATAATATATATATATATTATATATATATATATATATATGCTTAGGTTATTGTATTCTAACTAATTATTGTGTGGATGTAGGAATGATTGTAGGCCAACCATTTTACTTATTTTAAGAAATTGATTAATAAATATTATTGAATTAAATATAATTGAAAAATACATCTAATTTAATTACAAGGGTATTTTAGTCAATTAATATAGATTTAATAAAGGAAAATTGCATATTTTAAAGGATCATAGATTCTATTAATTTTAAAATTTTGATTTTACGAATTATAATTATTTTAATTCGGACATTCTGACAGAATATATTTATGAGTTTATTCAAAAATAAAAATATTCTTGAACTATAAAATAATAAAAATATTATTGAACCTATTTCTTGATCATGAATTTAAAAACTTCTTATAGAATAACAAATTCTTGAACCATCAATTGAAGAATATGTCACACCCCCGAACCAGACGGCGGAAATGTCCGAGGGCTCGTGTGACTATAAATTGAAATATCATCACAATGAATATACATGAAACATAACACATTCATCACCAACCATTACATATTACAACTGATATTGTTCACATCAAGTACATTGTCATAGGTTACATAAATCCAAAGTATTAATAGTACGATGAGTGATGTTACACAAAATAAATCCATACACACTTGAAAATTCTCCTGCTTAACGATTACCTGAGAATACAAGTTATTTTGAAAACGGTCAACATATATAATGTTGATGAGTTCATAAGCATGTTTGAATAAAAGTCTTTGTATCTTTTGTAAAACCCAGAAAATCCGATATTTTCTGTAAAAAGTCTGAAAAATGATGTGAAAATCGAGTATAAATGCATGTATGAATTTCATAGTAGTAACATATAGGAATGCAGTTTAAATTTCTTTGTATTCTTTCTGTTGTAAGTAAGTGGTAATTGAATAATAGTATTTCACCAGAAAATCCGAT